CTTAGTTTGATAAATAAAGAATGATTAATATGTATTAAGGAAGTTTAAGAAGTAATTAAGTGATGATTGAATAAACGTTGGTTATTATTACAAGGCAATTATAGATTGATATGGAATTTGATTGATTTATGAATTTGAGTGATAAGAATTGGTGCTACCGGTTATATGATAAGTGACATGATAAGGATGTATAAAGGAAAAAGGTGGTTGAAGAACTAAATGAAGGAAAGATTAAGTAAAGGAAACAACATAAGAATATTAGAAGATATATTCTTATTGTGTGTGCAGTGAAAATTTGAGGACGAATTTTCTTTAAAGGATGAGAGATTTGTAACATCCCAAAAGTCGGGTCAATGACTAGAATAGAATTTTGGTAAATTTATTGACCAATTTCATAAAAGATGGAAAGTTCAGGGACTTAAATGAAAAGTTTTTATGATGGATTTAATAACAAAGTTTGAAAGTAATAAGGGTATTATGGTTATTTGACAGGGAAGATTTTTATTTCTCTTTATAAAGGATAATAAGCACATGGGAATGAGATAATTTCTCCAGAGTCTTCTTCAGTTTCTTCTTCCTCTCAACGTGATCTCTTAATGGCTAAGGTGAGTTTGATTTTCAATTGATTTTCTTGTAATTAAAAGAATGGTTTTAATTGATTGAGCATTAGGAAAGATTAAGAGAACTTAAAAGGAGATAGAAAACTAAAGATAAAGAAGTTATGGAAGATTTAATATAAGGGGTGATCAAGTGAATAAGAGGGTTTAAATGAAATTGGAAGTTGAATTTGACTTGTCACCAACTTGATTAAGGAATATGAAGTGTTAGAATTAGATTTAGAACATGTAGGAAAGTGAGTGTGATTCCTGAATGCCATATAAAGGATAGGATGTTGAGTTTAAAGAAGTGATTATTGAGTAGAAATGAGTTTAAATGTGTGTATGAAAGTTAGGAATATTAAAGAAGGTGAAAGATAAAGAGTTGAGATGAAAAGAGAGTGAATTTTGTGTTTAAAATAGAATTTATGGGTTGTGTGCATCGATGCATCTTCAATGTGTATCGATGCACTCTCAAATAAATGAAACATCGAATGCAATTAGTGCATCGATGCATAGTAAGTGCATTGATGCATAGTGAGTGCATCGATGCATAGCAAGTGCATTGATGCATAGTGAGTGCATCGATGCACCCCCTTAAGATGAAAACATCGAATGCAATTTGTGTACCGATGCATAAGTAGTGCATCGATGCACTCGTTAAAGGATGCATCGATACACTGTAGAGTGCATCGATACCTATATTATTTAAGAGATGAAATTTACATTTCTTTTAGTCTAATAAATGATAGATTACAATATATTAATTAGTATACTGATATGTATCAATGTATTACTATGTAGATATAGAACGTAATCTTGTTCTGGAACAATCAAAAGATTAGGATCGAGTCAAAGCAAGCAAGGCTAAGGTGAGTGCGTATTAGTTTATATATTATGATGAATGGAAATAAGACTTGCGACGAGTCTATTTCCGATATTAGCATACATATAAGCATGTTATTGATATGAGCATAATTGTGATATATTATTGTATATGTGGTATGATCTATGTGAATGTATGTTATTGTTATGTGATTAAGATATCAATTATATGATAATGAATTGTATAATATATGGAAGGTGAAGTAAGCTAAAGTATGTGAACATGTGTATATAAGATAAGCCATGTGGATATGATTTATAAGATTATAAGTGATATGATTGCAAGATTTCAAGAGATAAGCCATATGATATGAGTGATTTGATAAGAACCTATGTTTATGTGATATGGCTATGTGAATATATGGTAAATATAATAATGATGCCCATGTTACGTGTCATGAGAGCTAGAGGTATAGTTGGCGTGCCAAGAGTCAAGGGTTCTACGTGGTCATTCGGGACATATATGTAATTCTGTGGAACATATATGTGATACTTTAGTACACTTATTTAGTCCATTGTAGTATGTATATGGTTCTTAAGGAGTGGTCCTTCGGGACATAGTGGTCCTTCGAGACATAGTGGTCATTCGGGACAAATATACAGTGCCCTTAGTGGGAATTTATTTGAGCTATGGTGACAGCATCAGTGCACAACCTCAATGAACTCACATATCTTTAGTTCTCCAAGATGTACATGGGCCAATAAAGAGATAATATACGAAAACTTAATATGATTGTTATAAGTGATTGAACATTTGGATGTGAATGTATGAGCTTCATTTATTGCATATATGATAGGTTCTATGTGAAATATGTTGATATGATATATGGGAATGTAAGTGAGTATAATATAATTATATGATATGTTAGAAGTAATTTCACGAGAAATCTAGTGAACGTTATGTGTGTGTATATATATATATATACATAGATAATGAAGTGGTGAATCATATGATTAATGAGAATTAAGACAACGCAAATAGTATATTAACATTGGAAAAGGTGTATAAATAAGTATAAAATGATATTAGATTAGTTGTGTAGGAAGTTATATACGTTTAAGATAAAACTATGAACTAACCTTGCTAAATTAGTACGGGATATGAAATTTAGTATAAGAATCTAAGAAATCATATGAGAATATCAGGGGTATCAAATAACAATAAGTTATGCAAATGTATGTTTATTAAATGAAGATTAGGTGAGGAATGAATTAAGAGAATATAAGAAATTAGGATACTAGAATATGTAACGAGAATTTATGGGTGAAATGTTAACTAGAAACATATAGAAATAAGAGATAAGTTATGTAGGATTATGATCAAAACTACAGGATTAAGAATAAGGTAAGTAAAAGACTTAAAGGAATATAGTAGAATATGATATAAGCTAAGTAGTGTAAATTAAATGATTATAAGAATATGAAATAGTAAAACTCATAGGTGATATTATAAGGTTTGTGTACGTATGTATTCATTCGATGAAGTGTACATGAAGATGTATGTTATAATAGCATTAATTATTTATATGCATTGTTAGAAGTTTTAGTTTATATTATATGTTTTATAAGCCTCACTAAGTCATAGAGTTACCGTGTGATTGTTTCACACGTAGGTTGTAGAAGTGAGAAGAGAAGCTAAGAGGTGCAAGACAGGTCATCATCTTCCTTACGAATATCGGATCGGAAACATATTAAATATATGTATTTTGTTTTATAGAATGTAGTTGACATGTAGTCTAAAGATTTGAATAGTATAAGCCTTTATATGTTTTGTAAAACTCAATTATGTCAATTAATGAAAAATATTCATTTTATCGAATAGTGAGTTGGATTTTTTTTATCCACATGTAAAGAAAAATGTTTTGAAAAGTCAATGTGACACTTAGGACTCCGATCCGGGTCAGATACGGGTTGAGGGTGTTACAAAATTTCACTAATCTAAAATATGTAATATTTCCAACCCATAACTAATATCCTTCAAATTTGCATAAAATTTCGATTATATTCGGCTATCCAATTTTCATACCGAACTTTATTGATTTATAGCTTTTAATACAAACATCGTATCGAAAATCTGATTCTTACAAAAATTCTTGTTTTATGACAAACTTTTCACTTACGGGCTAAATATATAACTTTTCAATATTACATTGTTGGTTTTTAATTTTTTACAAACTTTATAATTTAGCCATCAAACTTTCAAAAGTTACATTTTAGTCATTAGTCAAATTTTGGGTATTACATAGACAACAGTAACGAGTACTGAACTTTTAATAAGTAACTTCTAATAATAAAGTTCGAAGGGTTCGAAAGACTCTCAACCTATTTGACAATGCTCAAACACCCCTGATATATGATGTGTTTAAACTCGGGACTTCGAAAGATAAAAAAATCCTTTTAACTACTAAGATAGTTTGGTTGTGCTTAGTTGTAAATTCCTAATTATAAAATGAGTAAATTACATCGTTCCTCACTGAACTATACTCTCTCTCCTATTTTTCTCACCCAACTTTCAATTTTTCTATTTTGCTCACTGAACTTTACAGATTGAATCATTTTGCTCACTATACCGTTAACTTTTTAACGACATTATGACATGGCACATGAATCAAACCGACATCATTTTGAAAAATTCAAATATACTCTAAAACGATGTCATTTTGGTGAGTAAAATATGAAAGAGAGTAAAGTTTAATGACTCATGGTGTAATTTACCATTTTCCCTTATATTCTTCATTTTCTCTCTGCCAGCCACCACGTCATTTTCATTTCAACCACCGTAGATGGTGGTCGTCAGATCCCAAAATGGGATGGGTCAATTAGTCTCGACCCCCTAAGTCTGAATCTGATGGTTATTTCATCGAAAAATGTCCCAAAAATTGTGAATTTAGACTGAAACATTTCAGTTTCCTCACTTTCAATCTCAAATTCGTGGACTTCGAAGCAACTTCCGACAAAATGGAGGTCATATTCGAACTCACGACGTCGAGGCGAAGCAACCCATACCATTTTGGGACCAAACGACCACCATCTACGACGGTCGACGGTGGCCGACAGTGGTATTCGACCACCTTTTGTTTTTATTTTATTTTTTAATTATTTTATATTAAATAGTAATAAAAAATTTCATGTCATCAGCCGTTAGAGAGAAAATGGTGGAGTGAGCAAAATGATTCAATTTGTAAAGTTCAGTGAGCAAAATAGAAAAATTGAAAGTTGGGTGAGGAAAATATGAGAGAGAGTATAGTTTAGTGAGGAACGGTGTAATTTACCCTTATAAATTTTATAAATCTTTACGAGTTTTAATTGATATGTATATGATTAATTCGTACATTACACAAGTATTACGAAATGAGCAGTGAATATATTTTCCTCTTAATTAGATTCACATTCTCCATTATATATATGGAACTTTCAGTATAATCGATCACCCTAAGGACTAAGAAAGAATTTACCCAGTTTTGGTTGGAACCAATTTGGTCCTATTATCCATTTTGCTATAAAATTAGATAGAAATTCCAAGAAAAGAATCCGAGGTACTTACAATTTCCCCCTTCAACTATCCCCATTCTTTTGGCGTTTCCATTATCCCCAATTTCAGTTTCCTCGGGGCAAGAATATGAATTTCTATACCGCGAAATTTTATATTATATGTTGATTAAAGCTGTTGATTTATGTTTTGATTTGTTTTAAAGCATCATTTTTTTGTTGTTCGATTCGTGATTGCTGAATTTTGGTCATTGATATTTGGCTAGGCAGGTTTTTTTCTTCTTCTTTCTCGATCAATGGCGGGTGAATTGCAGTTGGAGCCAGCAGATGCTCGAAACCCTGGTGATTCTGATCCTCTTTTAGGAAACCAGATCGATCCATCTTCTCTGGAGCGTTCGAGTGAGATTAGGAATGATGATATTGAGAATGGTTCTGCTCCTTGTTGCCGCATTTGCCTCGAGTGCGATGGTGAAGAAGGTAAGGGTTTATTCCATTCTTTGATTTTCCTTTTTGTTTCTAATTATTTGTCTTAACTTTTTAGCTTGAGTTCGTGCATTGTGAATATAATTGTATTAACATATTCGATGTTGAGTTTTGGCATACGGATGATTTTACATGATTGGCATGTATATTCAAACCTTGAACTGATTGTTGTTTTGTAGATGATGAACTAATATCTCCATGTATGTGCAAAGGCACCCAGCAGTTTGTTCATCGTGCTTGCCTTGATCATTGGCGTTCGGTAAAGGTAAATTAAGCTGGTTTCTCTACCTGAATGTGAAGGTTCAGTTATCGACTTCTGTGTGAAAATTATATTTTAGTAATTGGTCTAATGTGAGCTTCATCCTCCTCTTTTGATAGGAAGGATTTGCTTTCTCCCATTGCACGACTTGCATGGCTCAGTTTCACCTTCGAGTGGAATTGTTTGAGGACAACTCTTGGCATAAAATAAAGTTCAGACTTTTTGTGGCAAGAGATGCCTTTCTTGTGTTCTTGGCTGTACAAACTGTAAGTCTTTTTTGTTTTCTACCTGTAGATTCATCAGGCTAATCTGGTTATTGTATGCATGTTACCACCTCTTATTCTTCTCATTTAGCTGTCTTTATTGCTGGTTCTGATACTTGTATATGGTGATTACGTGCTGTATTATGGTGTCACCAACTTCTGGAAAACCCTCCAACTTCTTATTCCTTTGACTTTGATGTATTTTGTATTGTTGGATTCAGGAAGCCTCATTTTAGAACTAACGTTCAGATGCATTCATCAGAATACCTAACCCTTTTCAAACTTCATACTTCTATTGCCTTCCCATTTATGGAAAAAAGAAGGGGGAAAATTATTCAAGTTACCTTGGAAGAGTGGAAGAGGCTGGTATAAGTATCTTCTCATCTGAGTTTTTAGTCATGCATAAGTCGGAAAGATTGAAAGCAAACTTGTCTGATTGGTTCATCATCAATTGCCTTGAAATGCTCATCCTATGATGGATTTATCTTTTCTTCAGGTGATTGCTGCAATGGGAGGCTTTGCATATGTCATGGATAAAGATGGGGCTTTCCGGAAGTCATTCAGTGATGGTTGGGATCGCATACTGTCAAACCATCCTGTACCATTTTATTATTGTGTAGGTAAGCTTCCCTGATTTTCTCCTATTTTTTTCTAGTATTTGCTGCAGGTAAACATTGCTTTGTACATTGATAGTGCTTAAGGCATGAGTTCAGCAGCTTATGCCAGTTTCTGTGTGGTAAGATGATAAACTCATAATGTTTTCCATGTTTCTCAGGGGTGCTTGCCTTCTTTGTGTTGCTCGGATTTTTCGGTCTCATATTGCATTGCTCCTCCCTTAATAGCAACGACCCGCGAATGGCTGGATGCCAAAATTGCTGTTATGGGTGGGGCATATTGGATTGCTTTCCTGCATCCATGGAAGCATGCTTTGCACTGGTGGTGGTTTTTGTTGTGATCTTTGCCATTCTGGGGATAGCTTACGGTTTCCTTGCTGCCACTATGGCAATTCAGCGGATCTGGCAGAAACACTACCACATTCTTACTAAGAGGGAGCTTACTAAGGTAAACATCGTGCTAGCTAGCTTTATAATTATATCTTTGCGCCTATTACTACTGCTGAAATCTCACATTGGTCTTTTGCAGGAGTACATTGTGGAGGACCTTCACGGATCTTATACCCCACCAAAACTTGATACGGAACACGAAGAGCGCTTGAAAATGATGAAGCTTTTGTAGTGTGAAGGAATAGGTATTTGAGGTGAGTCTTCCAAATTATTCAGAATACGAAAGATAAAATTCTGCCGGTTGCTTGGCCATTTTGCCAAATAGAGTTTTGGGGGTTGGGGGGGTAATCCTCTGTCTCTAGAAATCTCACTTTGAAGTCTTTACATGGTTATAGCCGACTGACTGTGAACGCGGTATACTGGCCATGCCGGGGGCAGGGGGTGCATAATAATCTGTGCAGTGATGTATACATACGTATCGTTTTCCCTTGATGTTTGTCTGATAAGCAAAATCAGCTGCTGTTATATTAATTATTCTACCTAATATACCTTGCGTATGAAAACCAAGTATAGTTAAATGGTTCTTATGTAGTATGTTTTTAATTATTTTCTAGGGTAAAGTACACAAATGGTCCCTCAACTATACGGTACTGCTTTATTAAAATCTCTCGACTATTAAAAGTTATAAAATGATCCTTTAAGTGTTGCTTTGTGAAGTCCCTTGATTATTAAAAGTTACAAAATGGTCACTAGATTATTCATTATGTTCCAAACTTGTCCATTTTCTGTTAAAAAATTGATGACATTCTAAGTTGAATGTTAACTTATTGACTGTGATATAATAAAATCTGATCTCAAGATTTCAAACGATTATCATATCTTAACCATCATGTTAACGTTCAGTCTAGACGATCAACATTTTTTTAATGAGAATGACGGATTTGGAACATAATGAATAATCAGTGATCATTCTGTATCTTTTAATAGTTGAGGGACTCAACAAAACAATACTCTATAGTCGGATGATCATTTTTTAACTTTTAATAGTCAATGAACTTAACAAAGCAGTATCTTATAGTCGGGGACCATTGGTGTACTTTACCTTATTTTCTATGTATATGTGTGTATCATAAGTTGAATCATGCTGTTGGGGTATCTTATCTCCATATTGATACAAAGGTTTCAATTGCAATATCAGCCAAATTTATTTTCCTTGAAAACGTGTTGTTAAGGTGGTAGAAGATGGAGGAAACATGGATGTGGTTTTTATATCTTTTCACTTTTAGCATAACATGATCGGATTCTTTTGGTCTGTCGCGACCGGCTTTCGGGTGGGCCCGAAATTAGGCTTCGACTTAAGAAAATGTGGATTTGAGTCACCACCGATCATTTTAAAACGAATTTTGATAGGTCGGACACTATCTTACATGATCTGTGTTATACCATAAATATGTCGAGTTCGGGAGTCGATTACGGTCAAGGAATGATTAACACCCTTGAACCGCCCTTTCGATACTAATTAATTTGTCAGTTGTCTTTATTGCGAAAATTAAAATTAAAAATTAAAAACCCGATTTCAATTATTTACTTTCGATTAATTAGAAATTCTCCTAAAAAAGTCAAACGTATAATTAGATTGTAAAATAAAAAAAAATATGAAAAAAAATAAAAAATATTAATAAAATAATAATAATAATATAAAAAGAATAGAAATAAAAAAAATAAACAAAAGGTTAAATTTAAAAAAAAATAAAAAAAATGTTAAAAAAATAAATATTAAAAAAATCAAAAAAAATAAATAAATAAAAAAGGATCAAAATGAATGATGTTGAAAGATGACATGACTAAAGCATGGATTAACCCAAAAATTCAATTCCATTTCCACGTGCTAGAGAATCTGTCAATTATGTACATCAATATTTTCATTAATTTAATCCTCCTAGAGATTATAATTCACGGGCTATAAAGGAGTGTGGAAAAGCATGGCAAATTACATATATGAAGCATCTTACACCTCTTAATCTCAATATAAGACAGAGACATGGACCCACGCGTTTTGGAAGGCTAAAAACTCGATGCTAACTGGCATGCAATTAAAAAAGACAAGAAAGTTTAGCCCCATAACCTTTACCTGGCTGTCAAATTGGAGACGACGATAGCTACCTTGTAAAGGAACAATGGAGAGGTTGTCATCGATATTGAGTGTAAAACATATATTGGCGCCTTCAATTACAGCAAGCAGAACCCCACCAAGATCTCGAAGCAGCACCGAGTCCTTAAAAAGAAACCCTCCAGTTGCAGCACCGGCTATAATCGAGTTCCCCGTATCTTTGCAAACGAAGGTGGAAAATGATCCAGACCAAACAACCAAACAGCGAAACCACCACCAACACGATGGGCGGGCATGCATCTGCACTGCTTGAGTTGCTCCGGCTTGTTGAACTTTGCTCTCGAGCAGTTGACGGAGCAGTTGGAGATCAATCACGAGGTCGGTGCTTCGCAAAGGAGTAGCGTGAGAAATCCTGGCGACATATGGAGAGTTGCAGCGTCTTTAACAACGGGGATCGGACCAAAATTTGATCCTAAACCCAGAACAGGGAACAAAAGAGAAAAAGAGGAGGCAGTGAGTAGATGAAGCCATGGGAGTGAGGTTGGGAGTGTTTTAAAAGCAAAGGAAATCCGAAACAGAGATGGTAGGGAAGAAGGGTCCCACTGAGTCCACCAATTGATCTCCACTCCGCCTTTTCTATCTCCCCCACTACGTTTTTGCTTCCCCATTTATTATAGTGCTTTACAATCCTATTTTAGCTTCGACCTAGAGTCCCAATGGACTAAAACTCTTTCTTTTCATTGTTTGTTGGAGCCCCACGAGGACACATCGCCGAGAAAAGGTGGAATGAGAGTTGGTTGTGGCTGGGACTCTCACCAGTTTATCCTTCAAAGCTGGTCAGACACAAAGCCTTAATATTGTTTGAATGTGTGGGCTTGACAAGAGTGACTTGGGCCTACACACAAAAAACAAACAAACCCAAAATTATTTAAGATATAATATTTATTAAAAACCATGCGGTTTTCATAATATAAATAAAACGTTTATATTATGTTGTATAATTAGATCGGAAAAAAATGAGTGTCTACATGTCGCATTTTGAGAGAGAGAGGATTTTGCATGGTTGATAAGCGAGTGCTTGATTTTTAGCTGTATCATAAATTATTCAATATGATTCCACAACGTATAGTTTCATTTCAAGTTTAAGACAACCAACCAGGACAAGTGTTCGAAGTGATATGGGACACTGCAATTTTTCTAGTAAATATTCTAATTCAGAACACTCGGTCAGTACCAAGAGTTGAACATCCTGATTGAATTCCCTTAAACAAAGACAAACAGAACATGAGGTTAAATATATAGTTATAAGATCAACCAAATATTACAAATTTAAAGTTAAAATTCACAGCCTCAAATACATTAAGCTCAGTTATTGAATGACAACTCACTACTTTAAATGAAACCCAAATGCTAAAGTGAGTCTTCCACTGCCTGTCTCCAGCTTTGGCTTATTCATCCATCTTTACAGACAACTATGGCTGATTAATCCTTCTTTCCAGACTGATACATGCAACGTTTTAAAACTTATTAACTACTTAGACTAACTGAGAGTAATATTAATTCCTATTTAGAATATCTAATAGATTCATTACAACTTCGTAAAAATATAAATATATAAGGTTAGGGATTCGAATCTTAACGTTTGCGAATTGAGCAAATTGGGTTCGAAGGGTAATCATTGTCTCTGTAATACCCAATCCAAATTAGTTGATCAATAGATCAAATACATGTGATTATACAAAAAAAAAATTATAAACGGATAAGTTTTAATTATAATAGTTAAGAAGGAGAAAATTATGGGAGTAAATGAAAGCTCACCCCTTTTATTTTCAGTGGAACCAACCTTCAACTTCAACCCCTATGGTTAAAACATACAACATTTCCCATCAAAATACAGCTTTTTAAAGAGAATGAATATGAAATAAAATCTGATAAATAAATTATAATTTTGCTATTTACCCATATAATTATTCATCAAATTTAAAGTTTGGGAATTGAGCAATTTTGTGCCAATCTTTGCACCTACCCTGTTGGTATCTTCTGATCCACTTGGAACGTCGATGAATAATACTATTATGGACTTGACGAAGAGAAGTGAGATTTTGTAGCTACTTTGGCAAATCTACATAATTAGGGCAATCAAAAATCCATATTTTCTGCAAAGTGGAAGAAGATCTTTTAAGAAGCAATCGTCACAGATCTCTTAAGGCATACTCGTTTCTGAGATTTTCGTGGCCTGGGACGAATATAAAAATTAGGCTTCTAATAACAAATATCGAAAAAAATAAATTATAACAACAAAAAAAAAATTAAATAAATATGCTTGTAAATTGGTTTTTTATTATATTTAATAAATTATTTAATAAATAAATTAAATTTTAAATAAAAATAATAAGAAATTTCATTAAAAATCAAATTACTTAAGTAAAACAAGCATGAGCCTCTTTTAAATGAGTACATATTAGATTTTAACCTTTTCCATCTTATCCAAAAATAATAAAAGAGTAATTAAATTAACAGTAAAAAATTAATTTAAAAATATCCCATCAACATCTTCATTAATTTTCTAATGGTGGATAATAAAAGAAGAAACAAAATATAAGGTTAAGTCTGATTTTGAAAAAACGATAATAATTTGATGATCAAAATAAAATTAAAATAATAAACCAGTGACTAAATAAATAATTTTTAATTGTATATGAAATTACGATTTTAGGACCAGAGTAAGAGAGGGCCCTGGGCAAATGCCCCTCTTGCCCATGCTCAATTGAAGGTTTTGTCTTCTTCCTCTTCTGGCTCCATTTTCAAATTCATATGCCGGCACCTAATTATGCTAAGGTCTGCTAACTTGGTTAGGAATCTCAAGCTCCTTGGTAGTGAGAGAAGTTTAGAACATCCAATCATAATAAGTACTCAAAGCAGGAATTGACGCACAAATTTGTGTTAGGGATGTGAATATAAAAAATTATATTAAAACATTAATGGTGCGAGATTATAAAATTTTAGGGAATATAAAATTAAATAATTCATAAAAAATAGAGATAAAATATCTAAAATATGGGAAAATTTGCGACCGTATCCCAAGCACTCCCTCAATCAATCTCTGGCTCGAAGTGATAAGAGATATGGCATTCTTTTTGTTAAACATTTTAATCATAATACTCGACCAATTCTAAGAATTGACAACAAGTCTAACATAGTCAAATTCCTCTCAAATGCTTAGTTGAATTGGTTATTACAAGATATGTAAGCTCAATCAAGCCTTACGTGCTGTCAGGCAACTTCATCAAAGGAATTCCAATCATGTTTAACGATTGCAAGCAGCAAAGCTAGTAGAAAGAGCTCAGAAGATTATGT